AGTCGGTGTTGACCCCTGGGAACTGCCCCCTGCACTTTTCTTAGCAGCATTTTTCAGAAGTGACTTGCAGTTCTTCCTTCCTAGGGGTGAGTGTTGTGGGCTGCATGCGGCCCGTGCTTCCCATCTTCCATATGCTCTGGTGGTCCTGGAAGCTGTAGCCTGAATTGGTTTAAACCCTGTATCTTCCCCCGCCCCCACCCCCCACTTCAGAACTAGGATTCAAGCTCTGCCAGTGAGAAATAAATTTGTTGCTAAATATAGCTGTACCTCCAGGTACAAATTTATACATCTGATTTTGTTATTGTAAGCCAAACCTTATGCTGGGAAAAAATGAGAGAGCGAGCGTAAAAGTAGTTTAAGTACCTCTGTGATGTGCTTTCAAAACTAGGGCTCACTCAACTACCTGAATAGTGAACTTCCCACCCCAATTTTGCAGATCTATAAATGGTGGCTCAGTTTAACACAGCCTCCAGCTGGGCGAGCAGATGGAAGTGCAGGAAAACTGGTTAGGAGGGCTGATAGCAGGCTGTTCTTACAGGTGGCTCGGGAGTAGATAAGCCTCCGAATTAAGCACTTGTGACTGCAAGGGGGGGTTCATATAACTCAGGCTTGTCACCCTGCAGGTAGTTCTAGTTTCACCTTTCTATCCATGGCCTAATTGTCAATGTGGAAGGAACATCTTTACATGGAAGGATAGGTCCAAAAGGGCAGAGAAGGGAAGACAGAGCACACTGACTAAAAGCAGCACTTTGTATTGTTCCTTGGCCATCTTTTGGCACACGTTCATTGATGTGAGAGGCTTCTTGCCCATCCCAGACCTTCTCGAGAACTTACACTTTGGGCATGAACTTGGTGTCATCCATTGGGTGAATTTCATTGCCCAGTCATTATTCATCTGTTTCATCCTTGGAGAAACATTGCGAACTTGGATAAAATGCTCCTGTCTTCATGTCCACTGCCCTAGAGGGAGGGAAAGAAGCTATAGGATAAGATCCTGCCAATAACATTGACCTTATTTTGCCTGTGTTTTTTCCATTTTCTCTTGAACTGTTTTCTTAATGTCTCTTAAGAAGAGCGAGGCTGTAATGCTGAGGATGTGATGAGGATTTGTTAGAATCTTGCTTGGGTCTGACTGTACCCAGCGCTCCCGTTGGCCATCTCTTTTTTCTCATTGAACACTCTGTACTTTATATTACTAGCAGTTGCAAGAAATAAAGTAGCAGATTGGTATGTTTGCTTGTTCTTTTTAAATATGTTGGGTTTTGAGGAAAAGCCTCTTCAGAGTGGTTTACAAAGTAGAATTTTAAAATAGCATTTAAATCAACAAAATATAAAATACAACCAACTGAAAGAGCAAGCAACAATGAGATTTAACAACTGAAAATGGCTGTTTCATTAACTTTTTATCAGAAGTGTATATGTAATGTGGATCATGTATAGCAAGTACAGGTATACAGACATCAGTAACTTGCAGTAAGCAATGATGTAGTCCTCATACTAAGTTACCCAACACTAAGAAATACCAAATGTTGCTTCTGTTTCGGTAAATTGTGACACTCACACACGGGGAAGGCATTCCAGAGAGAGGGTTCCATGATGCTTTCCAGTTGAAGGCAGCTGCATCTGCATAAGGCCCATCCAGCACAGCTAGTGGGCACTGCAGTCCAAAGCATCTGGAAAGCACTGGTAGCCCAGGATCAGCAGGACATGATCACAATGGCTTGATAGATTTATGTTGTTTTCTCATGTTGTTTAGAACTGTATCGTTTAATATAAAAACCTTACATTGACCTGATAGCAAATCAACACCTAATGCAATTCTTTCAGCAGCTGCCTTATTTAAAAGTAGACTGGAAGATGGAGGACACTTAATGCCTGTTTAAAAACAGTCGGAAATCACTCTGTCTCATATTAAAGCTGTCATGGAGAGTTGAGGAGGAAGAACTATTTTAGCTTTCAATGCTATAAGCATTTCTGGGTGGTTTCCTCATATAACTAATTCCCCCTTTGTCTTCACTGCATCCTTTCAGCCTGTCCTTCCACTATCCCTTAAAATAAAAAGAAAGGGTATTTTTGTGTCTCCTTAAACTCAGTCTGAGTAAGTGGCATTAAGCAGTCTTGGAAGGAGGACCCTTCACAGCAGGAAGAGTATGAAAATAAGATGCCTTTGACTCGCTGCATGCCAGAGATAGTGTTCAGTTTTCTCTGTTAGGGCTTTTCTGTGTTGCTGCTTTTTTTGACACTTGATTCGTTACAATAAGTAAATTTTGGTCAGCTGCAGTCTTTATGTGGAATATGAGGAGAGCCATTGCAAAAAAGGCCCCTTTCTGAGTCAACTGTATGGCAGTCCATCACAGAATTCTCTTTAAAAACATATGTAGAGAAGCAGTCTTAAAAGGCTGGTGAACCTCAACCCTTTCCAGTGGAGGGGGAAAGTGGACATTAACACTTGGAGGGTCACCATCAGGAGGGAGAGTGAGTTCCCTTCCTGACCTCACCTCTCCTTCTCTTAGGAGAGTCATGCTCCATGGTGTGTTTGGGGAGAGAACCTCCCTTAGTGGAATCAGCCTCAACCTTAGGAAGCTAAGTCGAAGCAGGAGCCATTTCTAGGGTTATCTTCAAATCAAGAAGAGCAAACCAGATGGCTGCCCCACTCTTTTCGCTTCCTTCTAAAATGCTGTCTGGAATCCGTTCACAGACATTCCTGGCAAGCTTTGAACAGGGCAAATACCTGGGCATTTATAAATCTCTGTAATAGTATTTACTTCTCAAAAGAACTCAGATCGATACCCAAGCTTTTTAATAATTAAAAATGTGTATTTCTGTAATCTCCTATTGATTTCTCCATTTATTCTGTGAAGACCTTGCAGAAGTCAGTAAATTTGGGACCTTTCACTGTGAGGAGCAGCTGGTGTTGGCTTTTCCTCAATAGTTATTACTTTTCTATCCAGGTCTATCCATCAGCTGGAGCATTTTTCTAATTTATTGGTGGGATATTGTTGACAGCAGTGATGTGAGAAGGATCATTCTGGGGCTTGGGATGAAGATGCGTTGGTGTGGATTTTCTGACAATGGTGTAATCTCTCTGTCTGCTTAACTTAACCATCTGCAGCTCTGTCTTGATTTATGAGCAATTTGAAATGGAGCTTGGCAGCAGAGGCAAAGCATGAATTTTTGTCATTGTAAGGGGTGTGTTGTGTGTGTGGAGGTCAATAAAAGACCTCTTAGAGCACCACTGTTGGGGTCCATGACCTATGACTGGGTTTCCCTCTTAATTTTTTTTTTAATGGAATATGGGCATGAGACCTCATCCCTGTATGTGTATTTATTTGGTATTTTTTTAAAAATAGCCCTGGGGCTATTAAATTTGTCATATAAAGGCATATAGCTCATCAGTATCACTTATCGCCTATTCTTCATGTTGGTTCCCTAGTCAGGAGTGGCACATGGTATTTATTTTTTTGATTGATTCATGCACATGCTGATCTGCACAAAATCCTAATAGCTTACAACAATATAAACAGAATTAAAACCAAAATAGTATCACAGTCCATCAAACCGCTAGTATAAAAACAGAAGGCACCCCTCCCCAAATGCCTCTGGAATAGCTCAGTTTTCACTAACTTCCAGAAGGGTATTGGGGTAGGTACAACTCTGGCCTTGAGGTGAACCTGTTCAAAATGGCTGTAAGAGCAAAAACACCCTGGTGCCCCCTTTACTTCTTGGTGCCAGTGGATTACTAATATTTTCTGTTGGAAAGCCTGTACTGGATGGGTCAATTCAGGACAGAGAAGGTGGCCCTGCAAATACCTAGGAGCCAAGCCATATTCTGGCTCCTGAAGTAGAAAATCTCAGTGGCATCTCCTTTTCACTTTCCCTGCCCATCCTTGGTTCCATCATCTCTGTACCCTGCTTCATATATTTGCCCTTCATTTAAAAAAATGTTTATACCCTTTCTTTTTCAGGACCTTAATTCCATCAAAGGCTGATTTTCTTGGTTTTCTCCTGCCTCTCAACCCATTCATTCTTCCTTAGTGTATTTGTTTTGCAATTTGATATCATTCATTCTCTCTATGTAATGAAACCATCTCAATGAACTTTTTTGTATTGATTGCTTATTTTGTCACCCATTTATTTTTGATCTTCTCTCTTTTCTTATTTTACTACATGCTGTTCTTAAGTACCTCATGATTTTTTGTGTTTCTCCTGACATAGTTCTCACTTCCATATGACAAAGTAAGTAAAAGCACACTCTTATACATAGCCATTTTTGCTTTTTTCAGCAAACATTCCCTTCTCACAACTACTGCTACTTTTGGTCAGCATTTACACATCTGAAAATTTATCTATTCATTTCCCCATCTTTGGTAACACCCTACCAAGATACTTATATTCATCTACTTGCTCTAGTTTTTCACCATTGCAAAGATGTGACTCTTTGATACCTTAATTTTCAGATCCATTGTTCTTCTTTCAACATACAGTCTAAGACTTGCTGTAAATCATTCAGGTTATCATCCAACAAATGGCATTGTCAGTATCCAAGCACACATACACTTCCCCAGCAAACACATCTTTAATATTACCACAACCATGCTTATATATATCCATCAATGCATAATAAGTGTGCGTGTGTGTATACACACTTGTATGCAGATAAATTGAACAAGCATTAACATACAGGTATTCACACTTCTGTGAGGCTATTTTGAAAAGTCTTAACTTTCTATGTTCCCCAACTCAGCTGATTAAATTAAACTAAATTCTTTTATTCTCTAAAATGTCTGCAAAGCTAGATATTTTAAACCTTGCTTCCCTAGTTACATAATAAATAAGGATCCAGTTTCACCATATCTTTCCAATGTGGTGACATTTACAGTGATGAGAAAGATGGCTTTCCGCTCTCAAATGGTGTGTAAATTTAATGTCGTCGTAAATGGTGAAGGAGATGAAATTGGTTCTTGACATCCTTTCTCTTTCATTTCATTCTGTGGATATTTGTTCCACTCTTGATTTCCTCTTTGGTGTTTTGGATTTAGACATCTCACATGTGTAATCTAAATGAAGAGAGGGGAAATGTTAGAAAGAGGAATGTACAAAAATCTAAAAGAAGAGTTTGTTGTTGTACAGGACTTTGTGGATGATGGAAGCTGTAGTGCTTCTACTTTTTGATTGTCTTGCTCTACTGATATATCTAGATTTTGAATTTACTGCAGTTCAAATCTGTGTAGAGCTTGTTGGCAGAATGTGGACTCTACATGCCTAGCATTCTGCTCAAAGCACTAGCAGCAGAGATACATTCATTCTTTTTGGCTAGCCTTGATAACGAAGCTGAAAATGAAGGCTTTCAGGAACCTGTCTGTTCCATGTCTTTAGCATTGGGTTGATAGTCATTGTAATGACTAGTCATGATAGTCACTAAATCTGCCATTTAGTGGTGGAGCTGTCCTAAATCTTTCTTCCTAACAGTCTGGAATGGGGCTTGTGCATTTACAATGCAGTTGTGGGAGTAGCTCCCTCTCTGTGCAGTTTCAGAGTTGGAAGAAAGCTGGGCTGGGGCTTAGTCTCATGAGAGAGCTTAGCTTATTTGCTGTGGTAAGTGAAACTGTGCAAACCTATTTTAGAACCAGAGCCATTGCTATCATTCCTGCATCTTTTCTTAGGAGGTGGTGATGATGGGATTAGAACTGTAACCTACTTTTAAGCATCTGTCTGTCTGCCTGTCTGTCTATCTATTGCCCTGGACTCAGTCTTGACTCCTGGCAACTGCTTGGACTAGTCCCTGCAGTTTTCTTGGCAAGATTTCAGAAGTGGTTTGCCCTCTCCTGCTTCCTAGGGCTGAGAGGGAGGGCCTGGCCCAAGGTCACCCAGCTGGCTGTGCCTAAGGCGGGACTAGAACTCACCGACTCCCAGTTTCTAGCCTGGGGCCTTCACCACTACACCAAACAGACTTTCATACCCGTAAGCTCAAGGTGATATATATATATATATTATACTCCCTCCTCCTGTTTTTTCCTCTTGTGAGGTAGGTTAGGCTGAGAGAGAATGACTGTTATTTGTACCCATTGGATTTACTTCATCCAATTAATGATGGTATTGGAAACTAGTGTAACCTGTTAAAACTAGATGCAGGTTGTTTGGGATATATGGTACTTCCCAGCATTTGTTTGCTCTTGTGAGAACTTCATGAAGTACTGGAAGAGTTTGCTTGTTTGTTTATTCAATTTTTATGGCTGCCCATCTCACTAAGTGACTTTGGGTGGTGAACAAAAATTTAAAATAAGAACAATTACAATAATACAAAAATTAAAATACACAGCAGCTGAGAATAAATCACCCATCATAATCCTTAAATTGACCAAGAAACGGCCCCCTGCACATACTTGGGGCCCCAGGTCTGGGCACAGAGCCAGGTCTTTAAGGACTTAGGAAAAGCCAGCAGGGTCACGGCCATCCTGATCTCCGGAGGGAGAATGTTCCATAGGGCGGGCGCTACAGCAGAAAAGGCACATCTTCTAGGCCCCACCAACCGGCATTCCTTAGCCAACGGGTCTCGAAGCCTGCCCATCCTGCCTGACTGGACCAGACAGGTGGAAACAACCCAGTCCCAAACTGTGAAGGGCTTTAAAGGGGACAAGCAGCACCTTGAATTGCACCTGGAAGCACACCAGCAACCGAAGCAGCTCACGAAGTAATGGAATTACATGCGCTGAAAAACCAGCGCCATTTACCACCCATGCTGCTGCATCCTGCACCAGTTGAAACTTCTTCAAGGGCAGCCCCATGTAGAGAGCATTGCAGTGGTCCAGTGGTTTGCATAATCTGTTAGTCAAGTTTGCTAAGATATGTAGAAGATATGGAAGATACATGGAAGCACTCCTGAAACAGTAGAACTAGTCTTGCATGTATGTCTGTGTGCAGAGAAACCTGATTATAAAGTGCATTTCTCTTATATAAATTGCGTGCTGTTCTTTGAAAACAGGGCCACTGAAGATTTAATTCGTTTATCTTAAATCAAAGCAGGTTCTTTTTGCTTCTTGCCCACTTGGAACATAAATTCCTTCCTTCCCTCTTTTCAGATCACCCAGGAAGCTGGAGAGTTCATGATTACTTTTCCTTATGGCTACCATGCGGGGTTCAACCACGGATTCAACTGTGCCGAGTCCACCAATTTTGCTACCCTGCGATGGATTGATTATGGCAAGATGGCCACACAAGTAAGTTCCTGCCTCCTTTAGGCCAGTAGTTTTCAGGGCTTGTACAGAGAAATAAAAGAACAATGTGCAGTGCAAACCATGGCTTGCAAATTGGGGCCAGGTCTGAGAACACATACTTTTATGGTGCTCAACCTTTGCTGCTTTCTTGTGCGAGAGTCAGCATCACACAACAGATTTTACTTTATCTGGGTTCTCTCTCACCTTACATCTGCAAGTTCTGATTTCTAAATTCTGGTTCAGCTGGGAAACCAGGCTTAGCAGTGGAGGAGATAAGCAGTGAATCACAGAGGAAGGGAATCAAATTGACATGAGAGAGGAGAGAGAAAGTGTTTCCCCAGGGCTGATTTTAAACTTGCAGACAATTGTTGCTGGGCATGTGGATTGCATCCAGTGAGTGGAGAAGGTAATGTCTGGCCTCTGTTCTGTGCTGTAGCTTACATCTATATCTAGTGTTCCTCCTGTTGTTAATGTAAGTAATGTAGAAAAATCATATGTCTTTGATATTCTCAGAACCGGTGGTGTTAGCTCTAGTCATTTTCTCTTTCTTCCTAATATTAATTAATACTTTTTTTCTTTATTGCCTGGAGATCAAGCAGTCTATGTGGTTCTGTCTTTTTTTCTCCCTTCCCCTTTCACAAAAACTCTTTGAAATAGGTAATTCAGAGAAAGAGAGCATGAAAACTCATGAAGTTTGAGTGGGTTGAAATCCAGGCTTCCCACCTCTAATTTAACACTCCAACCACTGTACCGTACCGGCTCAATCACGGCTGTAGTTTAGAGATGTGCAAAATGTTTCAAAATTGAACCAATTCAAAATAAACTGATTTGAGTTCCAAAACAAATGCAAAATGGCCTGTTTCAGTCATTTGGGGAGTCAAAAATGGAATTTGTGATAGTTCAGATTCAAAATATGTGCACACCCCAACTACAGTTCCTTTTGATGTCTATCTCCCAACACTATTTCTGGAAGGCTAGCCGCTCTGTGTGCTCTCCCTTGCTTTAGAGTGAATTGGTGCGGCTTGTGGAACTTTACGAAGGTATAGCCTTTAAATACATTCCTCCTCTAGCCTTCTAATTTTTTTCCAATGTACAGAACTTTAGAAATCCTCTGATGTTGCAGTACTTGAAATTCTCCTTGTGTAACAGAGATGAAGATTTTTCCTCTTGTCTTGTTACTTCAAATCTGTTTAACTGGTGTTTGTAGCCCGAATGTCGAGTTTCTCATGGAAGAAAGTTCAGTTTCAAGAATCACACCCATCCCTGTAGATGCATGGAAGCCAAGCAGCCAGTCTCATTTAATTTTCAGTAAAGCGTTTGACTTGAGTTCCCCATGAGATTCTGTTAGAGAAGATGGCAGAACGTAAGCTGGAGTATACTACCATTAGATAAATATAAGCTGATTGAATAATTGTACCCAACTGATATATGTCAATGGCTCCATGCCAGGCTGCATGGATGAGAGGATAGAAAATAGGAATATCAAATTTGCAGGTAACACAAGCAAAAGATGACAAGCACCTTAGAGGACAATGTCAAGATTCAAGAGGATCTTAGATGTAATGGAACAATGGACAGAATCTGACAAGAGAAATTTCATCAGGGACAAATGTGAAGCCCTATATTTGGGTAGGAAAAATCAAAGGCATGAGTTTGGAAGGTAGGGAGTGGGGAGACCATATTGGACAGCAGTGCCGGCAGAAAGGATCTGGGTGTCTGTGAATCTCGAACTGAATGTGAGCCTATAGTGTGATGCAAAAAAGAAAAAAGCAAAGGCAGTCAGAGGCTGGATCAACAAAAGTATAGTGTCAAAATCAACAGATGTTGTCATTCCTCTCTGTAGCACATTGGTCAGAGCATGCCTAGACTATTGTGCCCAGTTATGGGCATTGCATTTTACAAAAGACGTTGACAAACTGGAGCCTGTCCAGGGAAGAGCGGCCAAGATGATAAAGAACCTGGAAGAAATGCTTTATGAAGAACAGTTGAAGACTACACAAGACATGACAGCTGTCTTCAAATATCTGAAAGGCTGTGATGTAGAAGATAAGGCACAATTGCTCAGAGTTGTTCCAGAAGACAGAGCAAGAAACAATGGGTTTAAATTATAAGGAAGTAGTGTTTGACTGGACAGTGGGAAAAAAATCCTAGGAGTATGAGGTATTCTCCACTGGAATAGAATGATTTGGGAAGTGATTGACTGGAGGTGTTTTGACAGCCTTGAACGGACGTTGTCAGGGATAACACCATCCTTCCAACATTATGGGTGTCCTTACATGCTTGAGCATAGCAGAATATTCTCCCCAATTCCCTCTTCCTTCTCCTTCCCATCCCACAACAAAAAGGCAACCATTGGAATGAAAATAAGATTTAAAATGTTACATTCTAGAGTAAGGATAGTGATATGTAGATCTCCAAAGATTGCTAAATTATAGCTCCCAGCATCCCTCACTTTTGGCTACACTGATTTGGGTTGCTGGGTATAGTAATTCAGCCATATCTGGAAGCCACAAGTTTAGATTCCTAGCTAAGTATTATTAGGCTTTGTGGAAAGTAAACTTATTCAGCATAAAATTGCATCTGAAATGCTGGATCAGACCATTTTCCTGCCAACTCTTAACCTTTGCTATTTGCCAAAATAGTGTTTGTTTGGCATGATTCATGCCAGTTTTTGCCATACCTGGAGTTTTGACACACTGATTCATTAATTGGTCACTGGTTCCTATCCTCTAGGAGAATTGCTTGTATGTGTCTGTGTCTGACTAAATTGGCTTCCCCTGCAGATAGATTTCCTTGTTTGGAAATAACAGCAGTTGTAGTCCTAAACATCTAGAAGGGTTTGGGACCATGAATGCAGAGTACTTGTTTCACAGAGGAGACCCACATGCTGTATAATGTAATATTCTGGCCCTGCCTCCTTTCAGGCAACCTGCACTCTGAGCAGGTAATTAAGCCACGTCTGTAGCTGTTTAATTTGAGGAGTAATTATCAGGAAGTACAATAGTGTCTCCTACAGGAGACTACAGACCTGCAAGAATCACTCTATTTGTATCTATATTAATTAGGAGTTAGGTCTAAAACAGCACCTAGAGTCAAAACAGAGGACAGTTTTTTCTACCTTATCACAGTCTGCCTTTCAGCATTTTCTGCTTTTGCATAATTCCAAAATGAACATTTTCAATTTGAGTAAGAACTAACACCATTTTTAATTTGACTTGAGGGGGCAGAGAAGATCTTGACTCTCAGATCTTCAGGGACTCAATCATGTAAGGAAAGCATATCACCCCCCTTAATTTTGAAGTGATTCTGAGGCCTAAGTTTGAAATGTCTGCGCACCTCCGCCACCTCCTCTTTTTTTTTAGCTGCCAGTCTAAACCACCATTATGATTGGAGACTTTAGGCACTGGCCATGTTTGCTGTGACCTAGTTTGCCAGGTTTTCAGCCCATAACCTCTCAGTTTGTCACTGTGGAGTTCAAAACATGGCAGTTTGTCATGGAAATTCTGATGAGAGCTTGAACTACGACAGTGCCAGCAGGCAGCAGCTCCAGTATTAAAAGCAATTTTGGGCTTAGCCAGGTGTTCACAAACAAGTGACATTTGGGAAGTGGCAGCTTTAGACAGAGGCCCCGTGCTTACATTGTTGGGAGCTGTAGCGTGAAATTACTGAACAAGCACTGATGGGCAGAGATTCTAAGTTACTCTAGGCAGAGGGAAGTGGGCAAGTAAAGGAGATGCCATCCTTTTCTCTATTGCGTCCCTTTTCCTCTTTCCTCGTTCCCTCTCGTTGCATCAGGCACCATGATTTGGCTTTTCAGGGTTGCAATCTTCATGGGAACCTCTCTATGATTTTTGCTGCTCAGAAAACCTGGTTTTGACCCTTTGTGTACATCTTGCAGCATCCTTCCTTGTCAGCAACCTGAAGTTCCACTTTGGCTGCACGTTCCAGAAGCAGCAAGGCCGTGGCTAGTCTGAAAAGCTGGTCTGCTGGAACTGGCCATGTTGAAGAAGAGCTATGCTTCATCGCTTCAGTTGCTCTTCTTCCTCTGCTTCCCCACATGATCCTTGACTCTGAGCTTTCTCTGCTTTCCAGTACCATTCTTCACATTCTGCTCCATCCTCCAGTCACCACCAAGACCCTTCCTGCAGTTCTCTGTGATTGGTTGCATCCAGTCCATTCCCACCCTCTCTCAAACCTTATCTACTCCAACATTGGCCAGCTGTAGTTCAAGCTCTTCTATGAACCTTTTCCTCTCTAGTCAGCAGAGGTCTGAAGACAGCCAGTCTAGGTTTCTACCTTCATTTCTAGTCACTTCCTCAGTCTCCTGTGGATCTCCAAATGGCAGCTTATACACATTGGTAGGGTCTGCAGATTCATCCATCCACAGCAGTTTCAAGTGTAGTGACTTTGCAAAAACTGATGCTTATCTTTGCTCTTCTGACACTGGTGACAGTGCACGTGATCTCCTGATGGGGCATGATTCTGCTAACCTTGCTTGTTGCCCTTCCAACCAGCTCTTGCTATTTCCATCTCTAACTGTACCATTGTACTTCGTCTCTGCTCTGAAAACCATAAAACTCCAAATAAAATTTGAGAATAAGAAGTGGTGGTTTTTTCACATGCTGATTGTGATGAGAGAAATCAAGTTATGCTGTTATTTTTGAGAATGTGTATTCTTTAGTGAAGTAGTTTAAGTATAATTAATTTAACATTTGCAATCTAATTTTCTGTTCATTTACTCAGAAGCATATTGTACATATACAAAACATACAGTAGTGAGTTTTCTCCTAAGTTAGAATCAACCATATTATAGCGATGACAAAACAGTATTGAATTCTGCATAATATTTGAAAATAACTGAATTACCCATATTTGTTGTACCTCCTTATTTATGTTGTGGGGGTGTTTTATTTTCTGAGCTTTAAAAATCCTTTCTGTTCCTCCTTGACAATTCTGAGATTTACATACTATTTCTAAGCTCAGATAATGATACTTTTTTTTTT